AGGAAAAAACATGGAGGACGTAGCTAAGAGGTGAGTGAGTCAGTAGAAATAATAAACACGCGGCCCAGCTTCGGTGTGGGAACGCGGAAACAAAACCGGGGTAGAGAACACAAACTATGACGTGTACTGCAAATAATCTCATGACGTTGAGCATCATGTCAACGTCGTGACAATGGCAATGATTACACCCTTGAATGACACGGATGAAGTGTTGTGGTTTTGTAACTTAGCACACAAAAAGAGAAGTCATTACTTATAGTTGCATGCATGGTAGAATCCCAAGATCCAAATTCAGATGTCAGTCTTATGGAACTCAAGTAACGGGTTTCATAAGCATGGTACACGGTGAGCTTTGATAGAAACACAGGCCTGTGGACATGTCCAGCTGTATGTCTTTTTTCTTCACTCTTGTGGCTCAACTGCCCAGCTGAATCAGTGAAGCCAGATTACATGAACTGGCATCTTCACTTTGTGCTCCTTGTGATGCCTGTTGTCTTCAGCTTTGATGAGGTACACGTGGGAAAGTTTATCAATTTCTACATCCGCGGTCTCTTTTTCCTGGACGCCGAGCCGCCCTTTGGCAAGCTGGTATTGACAGGCGTAGGTATGTTTTTCAAGTTCTGGATCATAGTTTTTGGAATTGCTGACGGGGCTACGCTCGCTATAAATGGCCGTGATCATCTCTACTGCATTCCTACTAAACATGTTGGAGGGCATGCATGTATTACATGTATCATCAAACCAATTTTAAACTACAGTACTTTCGCTTTGGAATCAGTCATTTCAAGTTGAAGTACAAAGCCATACAGTGTCTTTTTCCCACTGACAACGAGACCAAGCTTGGGCATGAGTACACATGTGCAACGCAACATAGTACATCTGTTGCACTACATCTTTCCTGTCTCTCATTGCACACACTCACGCGGCAGCCCCCAGTGATCCCTGGACGGAACTGGTACAGCATAGTTGTACATTAAGCACAAAGTGAATGCTAATCATTGTAATCCTGTTGGAAAATGTGCTCAGTGTGTTCATGACCGCGTGAGGCGTCTTGCTCTAACGTGGTATCTCCATGCCTGTCACTGTCGTGTCCAGAGGTTGTACTCTTAACCACTATTTATGTTGTTGTGACAAATTACTGCGCACATACCCGCACTCCGTCCTTGGCGGCTACACTTTATCCTTCAGTTCTCCCAAATTTTGCCCGGGAGGGTATTATCAGCCCCCCCCCCCCCCAATCAATGATACCTTCTTGGGCAAACGTATGGAAGAATTTAAGAATATTGTGTAGCCAAGGATGGAATGTATGTGTGTGCGTAGTAATTTGCTCTGATACGGCTACACTGGAGTAACGCTACGTTTGTTGTTGTGCCTTCACTTTATATTGTGTTTGTGTTTGGAGCATCATGGTGTGGATATGATGGACAGTTTGCCTTCTCAGAGATTGGGCAAGGTTAGTGTTGGGCCAGTTTTCTCACCATTTCATTCAAGCACCCTTGGCCTTGTCAGCCTGGGGACACATGGCCTGAGTCCAGTTGCCAATTATCAATTGAAAAGGCATGCAACGTAGCCAGATATATCTCGTGCAGTTTTTGAGAAAACTACAGCCATCATTTCAATATGCTGAATAGCATGTGGCATTTGCATACCTTTGGCAGCAATTGTCCAAATCATCACTCACATGATGCTCGGGTGTTGAGACAATAATAAATTGTTTTGTTTTTAACGTTTCTTTTTCTTTTTTTCTTCTTTTTTGGGGGGGGGGGGGCAAATGCCGGTCCTATTCTCTTCACCGGAGATGCAATCAATCCTGTCCAAAGCAGTCCTGTCCAAAGCCAGTTGTGTTTCGTTTGTTCGATAGGTTATGCCCCGTCTGAAGTCCCGTATACTTCTCTGCGACTGGTCACCGCACTTTGTGGAGGATGTCTTCCTGCTGTAGTGTATGCTGTAAGTTGTGTGTGTTACCGGTATTGCACTTTGTTTGGTACAACATATTCTTCCTGATTGGTGTGATTTGCAGCAGTGCATGTCCTGCAACCTGAGGTAGGCTACAAGTAGTGTTATGAGTCTCTCCTTGATCCACTTCTTTCAAAAGTATAAATGTAGTAAAAAAAGAAACAGCACCATATCTTGGTAAGGACGATGGTAATCAGAAATTTGAAAAGTGGATCAAATGCCGGCTGCTATTGAAGGGTACGAGCAAAAATGGCTTCAGGTGTAGCATATTTTTATCGGAAATCAAGATTTTTAGCTTCCATAATTTGTACAAGTAGCACCTTATAGCTTGGGGTACTAGCACATTTTTTCCAAAATGCATGGAAACGTTTAGGACATATTCATGGATTGTATAACTCATGTAGTATATGGTTAACCCTGTATTCCTTGGGATCCTCTTCCATTGAAGTGTTAATTAATAGGCTATACATCTACATGTGTAATAGCAAAGTAGGCTAATTTTGCTCTTTTTCCATTTGAGCATAAGAGGCCATCTGCTTCATAGCCTGATTAGTGTGCAAATCCTGGCACTAGGCAGTGTTTATAGCCTGACCAGTGTGCAAATCCTGGCATTATTATAGGCAGTGTTTACATCTATGGTATGTGCCATGCTGTTGTATGATTCAGATTTGCATCCAGCTTAGAATTGATACTCCGATGTCCATGCTCGCGGGAGTATTCCTGATTCTTGGTAGGCAGTGGAACGTACCTATAGGCTTTCTTGTAGGATTCTCTGCGGATTGTTAGCGTGTTCGTTATGCTCTAGAGATTTGGGTTGGTGGGTCCGCTATTGGCTCTTTATAACGGGTCGCATGGCCCTCTTTACGTGTGTGCACGATCTTGCTCTCTCTACAATACTACATACTCGTACTGCTGTGTATCATAGACATCACATGCCGGCACGCCCTGTGTATGCGCAGATTTCCCATGCGCACAACAGAGCTTGCTGTCTTTTCCAGTTCAAGTCCTTGCCTGTAGACAGCTTTCAAATTCTGCCCCTCAGGGCGCATGCATAGTCAATGTTCAGATAATCAGGGTTCCACTGTATGTCATGACATACGTACCGTTGCATGGAGTTGGTGCAATTCCGTGGGAAGTGCTTTACGACCATGTGCTTGCTGTCACGGTGTGCTATTACCCTATATGCTGTGTTGGTTTTCAACAGACACTGCTATCATAACGCAGAGCCGTTACTTCATGCTGGATTCCATGATGCTACTGTCTTCGCTACTGGCTGTGTTCTTTGCACTAAGATCATGCCGAGTGACCAGGTACAGCACTGTTCCACTGTCAATGCAGAACGGAATCATTCAAGACACATCCACTGTGGAATCTCTCTTGAGTTTAAAATATAGTCATGGTACAGGTTGCCTGATGATCGTAGTAGTACGTGAAACTCAGTTGCGATACAGCTCCCAATCTCTCTCTCTCTCTCTCTCTCTCTCTCTCTCTCTCTCTCTCTCTCTCTCTTTCTCTTTCTCTCTCTCTCTCTCTCTCTCTCTCTCTCTCTCTCTCTCTCTCTCTCTCTCTCTCTCTCTCTCTCTCTCTCTCTCTCTCTCTCTCTCTCTCTCTCTCTCTCTCTCTCTCTCTCTCTCTCTCTCTCTCTCTCTCTCTCTCTCTCTCTCTCTCTCTCTCTCTCTCTCTTGCGGTACAGGTGTATAGCAAAATTGTGCACGTGCAGTAAAACCTGTGACTAACGACCGCCCCTTAGGGCCGGAGAGAGCGGTCTTTAGTGGCAGGTGGTCCTTAGTTAGAGGTTTGCACCGCAACACCATAATATATGAATGTGAGACCGCCTGTGCCTGGCAAAGTGGTCTGTAGTACCAGGCTGGTCGCTAGTCACGGTGGTCGCTAGTCACGGTGCCGGTCTTTGGTTACAGGTTTTACTGTATGTGCTAGGAAAGACACAAAAAACACATTAGTCCTGTTGAATGGTAGCTAGTTTGGAAAAGCGCTGCATTGTTTGGATAAGTTCAATTTGTCCCGAACCTTACTCACCCATAAACCCCTGCGTATTTGATCTGCAGGGTTTGCACTTGTCTGTAGTGTAGATTGAAAGTTCATTGCAAGCATGTTCTTGCAGCTATAGCCTACTACTAGTCCTCGGTAGCAACATGGTACAATCAGATCTTCAGTGGACTTTACGATGATATGAGTGTCCTGTTTTCCTGTTGCATGGGCTTGACTTTCTACAGGGCCTACTCCATGGCTTGGTTTCTTCATATTGCAGTGACTGGCAGCTTACTGGGCTTGGCAATCAGGTATTGAATGCAGCGCCCAGTTCTTCTTACTTGCTTCACTCACCGTGTTGTAGTGCATGTACTGTATAAGCAGAAATGTTCGTCCGGAATTTAATTTCGTCTTTTTCGTCCAAGGAGCTTTTGGACTAAATTAAATGCCGGACAAAATGTCGATTTGTCCAGCTTTTCAATACATTCTTATTATCCATGGACGGAATTTACAACCGGACGAACTCCCTTGCTTTGGAGTTGGACGAAATTATTGACCGACGAAATTTTCTGCCTGTACAGTAGTTGTGTGCACTTGTCTGTTATAAGAAAACAGTATTTGATCTCTACCCAATGAAACCTCAAACTATGAATGGTAGTCACTTACTGTCTGTAGGCACACAAATGTGGTAGAAAGCGTTATGGTGCTGACCATGGAGGGGGGGGGGGGGGACTTACTGGCATTTGATTATATTGCCTTGATGAGGCCCAGTTCAATGTGGGTTCCCTGCATTGCCGGAGAGTCTGTGTCTGCGAGTTATGCAAGGATTTCACACCGGTGTGTGTGTGTGTGTGTGTGTGTGTGTGTGTGTGTGTGTGTGTGTGTGTGTGTGTGTGTGTGTGTGTGTGTATCATGATGTTGTTACTACTGCAGTACCAAGCATGCGGGGTTCCTGACATTACCGCTCGTTGCTATCATCATATCCTATGACATGTGGCTGAAGTTACCCAACCAAACGTATAGTATGGTGAGCAGCATTTCAGAGTGCCGGTTCACCCATCACAGATGCTCTTGTCTGTTTTGCTGCTTCTTCACAGTCCTGCATTCCAGTCTAAAGTATGTGTGATTCTGATGCGTCCTTAAGACACACAACAGAAATCTGCAAATAGCATGTCTTATACAGATGTATTTCAAGTCCTTCATAGCTAAAGTTCCTTTTTGATTAGGCCAGTGGTCCTTGTGTAAACCATTTGAAATCACTGACTATGTCCTCTTTTTTTGTGACAATCATGTAGAGATGCCTGTGTCTACAAACCATTGGGAGGTTACAAGCCATCACAACTATTCCAGTTTCGCTATATCTCCTGTCATTCTACATTCACTTTTCGCTGCTAAAGTATTCCGGACCTCATGATGCACTCCTCCCAGATCAACTAAAGCAAGGATTAGTTGTGAGTGCCTTGTGAGTGCCTTGTGAGTGCCTTGTGTATGCTAGAGTAGATGTACATATAGATGTGTGTTTGAGTGTCTCTCACTTGCACTGTTGGTTTAGTCACTTGTATTGAACAGTCTTTTCTGCTGGCAGTGGGAAAGGTGGGCCATGTCAAGCCATGGCGATGGCAGCATTGAGCCGTGGACGCTATTCACCTACTCAGTAGCTGTGCTCCAACACAGTATGAGCACCAAGGCCAACATTGATCGACACGAGATTTCCTTTCGAAAAAGAAGAAGTCAGTACAGTCGTGGGTCAGAGTGCGCTGCAGCCTTTAGGAAATAACAGTTTGTGTGCGGTTGGTCATGTCTGCCTTTCTTCTTCTCATTGTATGGGCTTGTGTTCAGGGCAGTCAACTTCCAGCCGACCAAACTCTGTACAAGGACTACTTTGGTAGGTGTAGGACAGATCTGTACTTCTTCACTACACTCCGTCCTACAATTTCGTCCTGTACTCTGCAGTGAATGTACAGGGGAAATGAGCTAGCTGTGTAGAGCTCTTGTCACAATACTGGAATGTATCGATTACTGCAAGTTTGTCTGTAGCATACATATTTCGAGAAT